GTAAATACTTTATATTTTTTAATTTGTAAAAAATGAAAATACAAATAAAAATATTTGCATATTATGTATATTAAATTTTATATTTTTTCTGTTTTTTTAGGAAAAATTTATTAATGGTAAAAAGTTATAATTAATACTTTTACTAAAAAGATAAAATATTCTTACAAGAGGTATACAAAATTAATATTATAGAATTTATATTTAATATTTAACATATTCATTATAATACTTAAGCAAAACTTTGTTACAATAAATGAATTATAAATCTTAAAATTTCATATTTGTATTTAAATACATATATACAAATATATAATTAGTTGAAATTAAAAGTTTTTCACGCTTAAATTTTTCAAATATAATATGTTTTCTTTTATATAATTTGTTTACATTTTTTTTTATGTATTAATTTGTTAAAATTTGATGTTAAAAAATTTTTTTAAGATAATAATTTGTTATTTGTATATTCATTGATTTTGCTACATTATTGAACAAACAAATTAATAAAGAATGTGTAAATTTCTCCCTACTAATTTAATGAATTAAAAATTAATTTTAATATTATAAACCTGTAAAATGTTTTATATACATAGTCTACTTCAATGAGAATTTATCATTTTTAAAGGGCATTTATTTTCTTTTATAAAAATTCCATATTTTTATTAAAAATTTAAAATCCTCATTAATCGTTGCTTCAATTATATATTTTTTATTTATAATGTTGTGATTAATATTTAGCACTTCAAATCCATTATTTTCAAGCGAACATAAATAAATGACAAAATAAAAAATAAATTATATAAATGTTACACAATAAGAAAATTTTATTATCGTTCATATAAAAAATTATATAAATTTAAACAAAAATATACTACAAGAAGCTTTTTGTTCATAAGTCTTTGCTCTGTCTTTTGATCATTTAAATTTATCTTTTAAAAAATAAATATATTTTTTTATTTACTTAAAATTTACAATAAGAAAACAAAAAAAATTAACAACTCTTTTTTTTTTATATAGAGCTTGCATAGTGATTTATTAATTGCCTGTTTAATTACTTTGCTAGTAATGAACAAGAGAACAATTGAAGATCATATAGATCAAACTCAATTTAATTCTTATTTAATTAAATTTTAAATTTTTAAAATCTTTTAACCTAAGTGATATGTATTTTCTATCATAATTTGCACATATATTCCATTACCCAGAAAAAAAAATATCTATAATATTTTAAGATTGCCTTTTTTTTTAAAAAAAAAAATATATTATCATGATATATTATTTTTTTTAATTCAGGGTCATGTACCAAAAAAATTAGGTAATGTTTCTTTTTTTTTTTTTTTTTTAAATTGTAGATATACATGCAAAAAAAAAAAAAAATAAAAATTAATATTTATTAAAAATTTTTTTTTTAGTTTACACGCTTTTGAGTAACTATTTTAGAGCATACACTTACAAATGTACATTATTTCCGAGATTTTGCATGCACAAAACAAAATGTATTTATTCTATTTATTTATCTAAATATTATATAAAAGATGTCTATAATATTATTTATAAACCATATGGATAGTTATTTATTTTCCATTAACTCTTACTTTTTATTCACAAAGAGGCTAATAATACCTTTTATTAATGAGGTAAAAAACAAATGAATGAAGAACAATTAAAATGCTTTTTCCCATTTTTGTTTATTGAGAAATATATTTTGTTGTATAAGAGTAAATGTTATATAATTGGTTAATAAAAGGTTCATTAACCTTTTTGGCTATAAAATGACTAGCTATGTGGAGAATACGTAGTTGTGCTAACTAAAAAAAAAAAAAAAAAAATTATTGGAATTTTTTTTTGAGAAATGTTTCTTTTGAAAAAGATAAAAATAAAAAAAAAAAAAATAAAAAGATTTAATTTTTTTTTGGGAAGGAGAGAGATTTTTTTTACAAAAGATAATAATGCTTTTGTAAAGCGTTTAATTTGCATAATATTTATATTTTGAATTTATGAGAGAAAATTTTATACATATGAAGATAAAATTTTCAAGTAATTAATATTCATATAATGTATTTGCATTTTTAATAATTGTTTATGTTTGCTAATTCAACAGTAATATATGTTAATTGCTTAATATAACTCACAACAAAGAAATAATTAAGTTACATTTAATTATTAGTCAATATTCAATAATGATTTAAATTTTTAATAAAAATAAGGATTTTTATTAAAGTAAATAAATGCCTATTGAAAGTAAAGAATGTTGAAAGAAGTAGAGCACATAGTTAAGAGTTACTCGTTCAAAGCATATAAAATACATATAAATACAACAAAATCGTAGAGACACCTCTACATGCTCTTTATTAATTGGTTTGTTCAGTACTCTAGTAAAGTCATCGAATACCTAATTAATAAATCAATAATACAATGTACAACATGAAATAGTATATTTATATAATATTCTTAATTCTTTATATAAAAATATATTAACTTAATGTTTTCATCATTATTTACTAGATGCTAAAAACTATATTAACCTATTTTTATATTATATATTATATATTATATATCATACATTAATATAACATTGAACTTTGTGATATAGATAAAGATATACATGGTAATATTCTTCAGTTCTATGGACTACAACATGAAGTTCGAGGCACTCTAGAACTATTTTTTCTTTGATATGTTTAAATACTTTCAAATGTTCTCTCAATTTAAATTTTATATTTTTGTAATAATGGAACTTGTTTAGATGTTTATTCTGAAAAGTCCTTAATGTAATTTCTTTAATAACTAGCAGATCCTAAGGATCGATTTACCTACTTTTTTGCATTGCATCTCTCTGCTTCAATGACCGTTTTCAACCCAACTGGTAAAACATTAATTAGAAGTATATCTCTATTAGGAATTATAAATCTTGTGTATGATTTACTATCTTCTTATAATTCAATATTTCAAAATTCATTTTTAATATCTATTTTAGAAAACCATTTAGCACCATTAAAGTTTTGAAATATATGTCTTATATATGGAATAGCACATAAATCATATTGAATTTTTTTAATATATTTAAATTTAAAAATAAGCAATCTTATATGTTGCACATCTTATGCATGTTGAGATGTTAAAACAATTTTTATACATATTATTTAATATATGCTAAACAAATAACATATATGTTTATTTATTCTTATATTTTTGCTTAATTATATTAATATTAATTTTATTTTTATAACAAAATCACCTAATTTCTTTATTTGATTTTTATATTATCATGTTTCTATATATGGTTAATAAAAGGATTTATTAACCTTTTTGGATATAAAAAGGACTAGCTATATGAATAATATGTAGTTAGTCATGCACACGCAAATAAAAAAAAAAAAAAAAAGATATTTATTAATTTTTTTTTGTTTTCATTATATAATTTAATGATGTAAAAAAATATATTTATTTCTTTTTAAGAAAAAAGAAAAAGGGAGAAAAATTGGTTAAAAAATCAAATGGGAAAAGATTTGTTACCAATAAGAATGAGATATTAAACATACAAAAGATATTTACATAAAAAATAATTTAATTAACATAGTATTTATATTTTTAATTTGTAAAAAAAAATTTTATACATATAAGGATAAAATTTTCACGTGATTAATATTTATATAATTAATTTGTATTTTTACTAATTTTTTATGTTTGTTAGTTTAACAGCAATATATTAAATTGCTGGACATAAATCATAACAAAGAAATAAGTAATATACATTTAATTAATAATCAATATTCAATAAGGATATAAATTTTTAATAAAAATAAAGATTTTTATTAAAGTAAATAAATGCCTATTGAAATTAAAGAATGCTGAATGAAGTAGATCACATAATTAAGGAACACTCGTTCAAAGCATTTAAAAATATATATAAATACATCAAAAATCATAGAGGCAACTCTACATGCTCTTTATTAATTTGTTTGTTCAGTACTCTAACAAAGTCACCGAACACCCAGTTAAT